TCTTGTTACATGTCGCAAAATTTTCCAGTTTTATAGAGCAGAGAGATAACTTTCAATAAAATTAGAAGAAAATTACTCAGGGCTAAAAGGGAAACAAACAGAAATACCACAATAACATGTACTGGGTCCAGTCCTGAACAATAGTTAATCAGGTAGAGATAAAGAAGTAGCAGATAAAATTAGATAGATCAGATTTAGCACAGGTCTACTTAAAATTGAACATAATATGCAAATTAACTCCAAAATAATTACGTAAAGTTTGCACAAAAATATAGCAACTCTCGCTAGAATACAGTTCATCAAATTTCTAGAGGCTTTCGACGGCTAGACAGAAAAAGCACTACTGACAGGCATCCCGACGGATTTACGCAATGAAAGTACACTCTGCGCATCAAGTATTTCACTATTTCATTCAGACGTAAATGTCAGATGTAAATTTCGCTAAAACATTTCTTTTATTTTCGTTTGTGTTTTCTGCTCATTACAGTTTAATAGAACCTAAGTATGGAGTTTAATAGCAAATTAAGAGGCCGCGTGATTAACAGTCAATCTCGCGAAATAATAGCCAATGTTATAGAGTTTATGAGAAGAGAAGGAAACTTTAATTCACCTTCAATACCATTTAAAAATGTAAATGATCGTGTTGCTGCAGCCACAGGAGTATCTAAAAACACTGTCGTCCGCATTTCTGGAGAAAAAAAGAATCGATAACCGTGAGATATCGGAATTTTCATCACCAAGAAAAACCATCAAAAAACCAAAAACAGTTAATGATATAGATGAAGCTGCACAAGAATCAAATTTTATTTTTTTATTATTAGATAGCTATTTTTGTTTCTGAGTTGTGTTCATTTACAGGCTTAATTTTTTTCCGTTTCTCCTTTTTGATTTTATATGGGGTTTCAAGTTGTTTTTGACTTATTTCGACGTAAATCACACTTTTTTAATAAAGCAAACAAGTGTTAAGAGGTATATGTACGTGTAAACTACAATTACAAAAAATTGATATGAAACCCATGAACCACCAACAAAAATGTAAAGCTAGCTTCCGTACTAGAACATGGTGTCATTCGTCGAGATAATTTATCGTTTTGTTTAATAGATCAAGAAATGTAAATATTCCCCTGTTATTTTTTATAAAATTATAAGAGAAATAAATTTTTTTGTAAATAGTATAGTTTATTATTTTGTAGAAAAACAAAATTTCGAAAATTTTAGTAATGTTTCAGAAACAACCGTTATTAATAATAGGTACCATTTTCCTTAATAAGGTAGAAATAAAATATAAACTATTTCCACGATTTACAAAGGCCTACAAAAAAATTATAGGTATTTTCCGCTATCCTATAAAATTTATATTTTCTGACTCAATTTCAAAAGGTTAAAGGAATTCCAAAACACCTTTTATGGCATAATAATTATTTTCAATTCTACATACTATCTTTAGCTGCTTTTAAAAACGTTCTAAGAAAGTCCAATCAGACCAATTTAATCCCTAAACTATTCCACACTTTTAAAATTTAATTACCTAAAAATATTAAAAACTATTTAAAATAACTTGTTAAGCAGACTGTACAATAGCTATCTTAGTCATACGTAGCGCGTTCTCTGTCTGGGCGTCGAACACCTCTAGACATTTGATGAACTGTACTAATACAAAAAAAAGTAGATGTCAAATTAAGAGAAGAAACGAACAAAGTTATTTTCAAGTGTGTAGTCAAAATTTTGTAAAATAAAGTAGACTGAAAGAGTATACGAAAAATATAAACATCTAAGTTCGCACAAACAAAGATGGTATTACAAAAAATATTTGTTCTAATCCCTTTTTTATGGGATAGTCAGGAGTACTAGGATGGTACCATTTTGTAGGTTAAGAGTTAAGATATTATAAACTGAGATTGCCATACAAGATTACAAGACATTAGTCAGAAATCTGCAGAAGAAGAAAATTTACTGAAAAATGTTATGAAAAAGTTATGAAAATCGTAAATCGCAAATTGAAATTCGAAAAATCAGAGAAATATCTGAAAAGTGACTGAAAATATTTTCAGAAAAGTTATTGGTTGTAGTATTAAAATATCTTAAGGACTTGCAATCAACAGGTGTTATGTAAGGAGTTGATGAATAATTTGTCTTAAATCTTAATAAAAATGATTCACCAAATTTACTTCTGATAAATATTTTATTTTTATATTAAGTCAATGTGACATTACCAAAAAAACATATACCGTGTGAGAAACTATCATTAACATGTTAAATATAAAAAATTTTATTTGGAAGTTGGGAGAAAATCATCTCTTTTAATACATAACAAGAGTGTAAAAAATATAGGAAATGGCGACTTTTATCGGGACCTGAACATGGAAACTGAACACCATTATCAAATTTGTGATGAACCATAAACTTTATTATTAAGTGAATGTTGATCTAATTCTATACAAGTTATACAGAATATTAATACATATACTAAATAGCAAAAAATTTCATTTAGTATTGGGTTAAAAGTCGCCATCATCAGGACAAGGTCCATTACACCGACGGGAAGCATGGATCTAACCTCTCTTCACATTTTGCTGGAAAGGAAGGCTAGGGTGATTTTCTACAGACTTCTAACGGTGGGTAGTCAATGCAAGGAAGAACTGCGACTGGACAAAACGAGACTGTTGAGTAAAATTAATAACCACCATATTCTTGGTATGGTCTCATACTCGCTAGTTGCCCGACAGCACTAAGAAAATTATACAGCGTCCTGATTCCAGAGAGATACGAATGGAGCAGGGGGATATTCCCCTCTCCCAGACGGACCATGCACTGTATTCGGACGGCTCAAAAATAAAGTTTTCTGCAAGAAATCAAGAAGTAGGTAACATATTGTTAAACTACTTTTTTAAAGTTTTTCCAAGCTGAAATGACCGCTATAGAATTGGAAGAGCGAAACAGTTAATCAATCTTTATCTCGCAAACAAGACTTTAAAGATATTTTTAGATCAACTGAGTTGGTTTGGAACTGTATAAATACCCTAGAATGTCTCGGTGCCAGGAAAAGAGTTACTTTTATCTGGGTTCCAGGAGCACAGCGATGTGGAGGACAATAAAGAAGCCGAAGCTCTCTAAAAGAGGCAAATCTGACTTAAGAGGACCAGAACAATTCCTTGAAATTACAAATAACACTGTCAAAGGAGTTATCCCAAAGTGGATAGACAAACTAATGCACTGGAGAGATATATCAGGGCCACGATACACAGACTAACGGTATGTTCCTGCGCATGCAGCTGACTGACGGTGACGCCACGTGATACAGAATTATAAGCATTAAATGGGAGATATTGTTTAAAATTCGATATTTTGCCAATTTTAGATTTTATGCAGTTACTTAAGCTTTATTGGTTCTTTTGTAATATATTCGTTTAATATGAAGGTTTAAGGTAAATAATACTAGTAAAAATATTAATTTTTCTCATAAATTATAGGTATTTTGTGACAAAATCCATAACCTGGCCATAAGATAAATAAAAAATATAGACTAAAAATAAAAGTTTGACTCAAATGTTGTACTTTCTGGGCGTGGTAGTTTTCTTGCAATCTTTTCTTATTATGTGAAATAAAAATAAGTGTGCAGAAACAAATTATTTATTTATAAAAAGTACTTAAGTAAACCAAAAAATTACTTTTTATTTGGTAAATTTAAACATTTTTTGTCAAGTTTACTTTGAAAATACTCAAAACCAATTTTTCTGTTCATTTATCTTATTCTTATATATGTTCGTGCATGGCTTTACTTCAAAACTACCGTTGTATTGGGACAGGAAACTACTGTTTTATCTGCTAAAATTTTAAAATACCGATTTATTTTCTTTGCTTAATGAGGGCCGTGCACCTGGTGGAGTTCAGTTTCCTTTTCTTGCGTCTATGTTTAAGAGGAATCTCACAACTACTTTCCTCAAAGTGGATAGGGCAACTTCAATTAAGTTTGTCCTTTTTTCGATAAGAATTTACCAATATTTTGTGGCATTCGGAAATATCTCCACCGCGCATTTTACACATTAATTTAGTTCTTTCCTGTTATATATAGGAAAATATAGTCACTACTAACACAAAAACAAATAAATTATTAATTTATTTTACATTATTCAATCGAAAAGTGTCAAAATAACTTGAAAGTTCGTCCCGCATTACGTCATTGCGCGATTTGGACGAATTTTTAATCGAAAGTCAGCATACCGTTAGTATGTGTATCGTGTATCAGGCTCAGAGTAAGTAAGTAGTAAAGAGAGGACAGTAAACAATGTTTGTGTCGCCATGATAATATGGTCGAGAATTCTAATTAGAGAGAAATAGATTAATATCTCTATCTCTTTGTTTGTATTTGTCAGTTTTACAAAGCTTTTCTTAGACAATTATTCCAGTGATTAATTTAAATTTGTTCATGTTGTGGTGTTAAAAGTTATTGTTATTAATATTATATTCATAACAAAAAAGTATATTTTGTTTTCACTTCATTAAAAATGCACCTACCTACCTTTTAAAACATTTTATTTTATATTCTACTTGATCAACATTTTCGCATTTATGACCCAGCGAAATTGTTTTACGGTACGCTACAGCTGAGAATTCTAAAACGAGTGAGAAAGCCTTCATTAGAAAGAGAGATACTGATTATATGATAGCGACATTAATATTGTATAACTTTATGCAGTGGTGGCCTATCTGCTATTATATTATCTAAGGTAGAAGGATAGGTCTGCAATTAAGTCTGCAATTAAGTCAAACATCGACCTGTCGATTCTGTACTTGCTCTGCTTTGCAAAGAGCTAGGTTCAAGATCTTTGCCTTCACGAGACTAGTCTACAGAAGTTTCACGTAACTTAACCGTAGCCTTTATAAAATGGTGTTTGTACTGTGAACTATATAATTTAGCCCCATACATAAAGGTTCGACCCCTTTTCTTTTTAAATTTAAAATTATCTAGGTTAAAAGGAAACTGATGATTTGTATATATGTTAATTGATTGGACAGTCACGATAATTGCAGAACGATAGTGATGTATGAGGTTTCTTTATCTTCCACGAAGAGTCTACAAGTGGTTTTTGAATTTCTGTTACATCGATTTTTAGCTGGCATAAGTTTGGCAAAGGTAAAAGATAAACATTTTTGGTGATAAATAATATTAATATGTTATTGAGCAATTGCTTACCTATCTATATTAATATCACATATTTGTTGCTGTAACTTAGAAATAAGTGTTTCGACTTACTTGGGACGTGGACAGAGAATGTTCAATACTCGATACTGCTGACATCTGTCTTAAATATTCCTTATCATCAAAAATTTTCTTATCTCCACCTCCAGGCTTGTATTTTACGTTATCAAGCGATCCAATCTTACTGTTTACTTTCACGTCGATCTTCCTGGTTTCAATCTAAAATAGTTGTAATAAAAAAATTAATTAAAATAAATAGGTACATTGGTATTAGTTATTACATGTATATCTACAAAATCATTTCTTCTTTTACCATTATGGTGTAGAGTGTAGAGGAAGAAGTTGGTAAATTATAAGGTGAATTATTTACAGTTATGAGCGTGCTTAAGTGAAAATTTGTTTGTATCGGAGAAACATTTTGCATGATTAAAAAATAGTAGTAAGAGTTGATATGATCAATAGTCTGAGTGCGATACGGACAATCCACTCACGTTGTATTTTTTCTACGAACCACTACCGAAAATTTACAAAACTTTAAAAACTAATTTATTGACTATTTAAAATGATTATTTTGAAGATAACAATTAACTTATTCGGTGAGTAGTATGTTCATAGAATAGACAAGATATATGTGGATGTAGAATATATATAAACAATGTCAATAATATCCAAGGAAAAAGGTTAGGTACTAAAGTTTCTTCTGTAAACTAAAAAAATTGGAAATCATTGAAAAAACGCGTATACTGGTATATAATCTCCAAATAATATACCTACAGTATGACAATAAATAAAAGATACCGAAATATGCAAAATAAAAATAGCCCTGACTTAACTCATGCTGATGTCTAATGGGGAAAAATGAAAACATTTTCAATATTCATGTCCCAGTATGTTTAATTTTGAGTGCTGTCTTTATTTCTCTTTGGTAATTATATGATTTAGTCCAGCTATACTAAACCTTTTTTCGTTTGGACCACATACAAATGTTTGCTATGTTACACGGGCTGCAACATTTTTGGGTGATGCCCTTTTTTAGGTCGTCCATTTAAAATTAGTTTGTGGGAACCTGATTTTACATTTACTTCGCATGTAATAAATAAAATACGTGAATGTTCTTGCGCTTTCGCTTAAGATTTTGGAAAATTTGAAAAATCAGCTTCCTATTTATAGTATTTGGGGCCGCATATAAAAGATTGGCGGCTCGCAAGTTGATTTGGTCAGTACCAGAGATAACAGGAGATATAGCTTTTCATTGATAATATAATATTCGTGACGCCGACATCGATACGATACAGTTGTAAGTCAGGAGTGAAGAGACATGAGGTGTGAGGTATGAGAATGGATAAACTGAAGGATTTGACGGCTCTTTTTATATGTCATCATTAACATTAGATATTGTTTATACAGGGGAAAACGTACGTTATCCCTTCCCAAAGCGAGTATATTTAAAAAGTAAAGATCGTATTAAAATAATTCGTTTTTGGTTCGTTTACAAATCGATTGTGTCAAATACTATCGGTAAAATAGATAAAGAATTATTCATTTAGTAAAAAATATTTATCTCATAAAATTAAATTATTATTTTCATTTTTCTCATTCATGTTTAGTTTAGTTAAAGATATTTCTAGATAGAAAGTATAAATTCAGGTTTCTTAATTAATTGATAATTTTATAGAAATTCGTTGAACTTGCAAAGACAGCAGTAAACGCGGTTCAACGAATTACCTGATCAAGCAAAAGTGCATGAATCCGAACTTATATAGTACACATAAATAATTACTTGGGTTTTGAAGAGCGACAAGAGCACCATCCCTCTCAGAATGGTGTACTGTTGGTGAGTACCTCGTTAATGTATAATTTTTATTTTTACTATTAGTATTAATCAATGAAGATTGTCTTTTTACATTAATACTTTATTTAGTAAATAATTTTAATTAATATTATGTTTTATTATAAGTTCTATCATCTAGTTACAATTAACCCTTCAGCTCGTTTAGGATACCATAGAAAACCCTAAACGCGGCAATATTTCCCATTCTAAGCATATATTCGTTAACATCAATAAGTTATTTTAATGTGTTCCCTCGAAATATCCCATAAATATAATCTTAAGTTTGTTTGGATGTAGCATTATACAACATCGCTGTCGTCGTCATTTCTTACATTTGAAAAATCGTGCGATTTTTTTTCAGATTTTATATAAAAATAATATCTTTTAAAATACCGGGCGGTATTTCATTGAGATGAAATATTCATTTAATCTTGTCTTTTATGATCCTACTCTTTTAATTAACAGAATAGACGTTCGTTATTCTTTTATAATTATAGACCATTAGGAAGTCGAGCGATTCTTGACGATATTTCTGTTTTTCTGGATTAATACAGGGAAAAACGTGCGTTACCCCTTCTGATTACATACTGAAAAAATTGGGCGATTTTTTCAGTAATTCTATACAAAAATAATGTCATTTAAAATACCGGGCAATTTCATTGTCTTTCATGATCCTACTGTTTGAATTACGCAGAAATTAGCAATTCTTGCATAAATATAGATCATTAGGAAGCCGAGTGATTCTTGATGATTTTTGTTTCTCTGGATTTATACAGGGATGAACTTAACTTTATCCTTTCTGAATATAAATGTAATAATTTCTTTTGATTAATAAATGGTTTTAAAATAAAAAAAACCTACCTGCGATTTTTTCTGTAATATAAAAATAATATACAGTGGTTTTCCTCTTAAAGTTCTGTGAAGCAATCGAGCGATTTGCGATTTTGTTGAGTCGATAAAATATTATCTTGTCTTTAATAATCCTACCGTTCGAATCAAGCCGAATATAGATGGACAAAAAACATATTAAAAAGTCGAGCGATTCTTGATGATTGTTTTGGTTTTCTGGGTTTCAATGTAAACTATTATAAAAACAGAAAATACAACCATATTGCAGCGATACAAAAGGAAAGACTCTTTATGAAGAAATCGTTGTTCGTCAAAGGGTATAGCCAGTGATCAGCGGAAGAATTTTTCAATAATTACAAAATTTCGGCTAACTGTTAAACTCTAGAAAGAAATTCAAGCCTGCTTGCCAAAAGCAGCACAGGATCCTGACCGTTTTATAATGGCACTGTAACAACAACTAGTGCATAGGCTATCAGCAAAATTTTGGCAAAAGCCTGTCAATTATTTAGCAAGATTCATTATGCCATGTCGGCTCATGCCCTTCATTTTAAATTGGACGAATTTTGAGAACATTGCAACCCCATACTAGAGATGGGTGCCTTTTAGGTTTCTTACGGGCTTGGAACAATATTAAACAAGACCGAGTGGTCTTAAGTTGAGCTAAAGGAATATCAATACCATTTCATTCAAAACAATCGAACCATCTGTGAAAATCCTAATAAATCTAATTAAAAATTAAAAAGTGTACGAAGGAATAATGAATGATAAGAAGAAAAAAGAAGGCTGTCAGACCCCAAGCTAAAGAAAAAGAGCAAGATATACTAAATTATCAGTATTAATTTACAAGGCAACGACCGGTTGTCGTCCGATCACCGCAGTTAAGTCGTGATGGGCGCGGTTAGCACTTGGATGGGTAACCTTGTTAACACACTATCAAAGATGTTAGTAGGTAAATTCGTATCTTCTTATCCTGCTACAAGTTACTATTTTACTCATATAAAATCTCTCGAAATAATAAAATATATTTCGCTTCAGGTTAATTATTGTAGGAAAATTATCATTCCAAATTAATTATTACAAGAATTAGAATGGTGGCAGAAAGATTAGGAAAGAAGGATTAGGTCAAGTTATAAAACCTAAGCTGTTCCCGAGAGAGGTATTTTCAGATGCTTCAAAGACTGGTTAATGTGCCTTTTGTTTGGTTTTAAATAACATGAGTTTTGGTACAACCATGAATTAAAAGTGCACATTAACTCTTTATTTTATGCTTTATGCTTGCTAAAGACGAAACATTTTTTTGCATATTATAAAATATTTATGTAATAAAAAAAAGCTGTGGAAATTGTGTGATTAGTTTTTGCCAGTTATATCTCGTCGACAGCAAACACAAATGCAGATATGAAATCAAGGTCAATTAGCATAGGTATAAATTAAACGACAAAGTATTTAAGGATATTGTAAAAAAGGTTTAATTATCCGGAAATACATTTGTTTGCCAATAAATTAGAAAATGTTCAAGCTTTATTTCATGGTTATACCTATCGCTATAACGGGACTCAGGTTTTTTTTTAGAGGGGGTATAAGATTTAGGTATTTGAGGATTTTCGGTTGAAGGACTTTTTTATTATTATTTTTTAGAAGCCAGGTAGATGAAAGAGTAAACGATTTTGGTATTTTGTGTTGGAGACTTTTTTTTAGAAGCCAGTGAGTTTACGATTTTGGTATTCTGGGTTGAAGGAGCTTTTTTTTAGGAATCAAGAAGAGGAAGGCGTATATGATTTTGAGAATTTTGTTTGTAGGGGCTCCGCAAAGAAACGGGTGGGACCTGAAAACAGGCTAGAGCAAGAAGGACTGTCTTTCCGAAATGTGTTTAGGGCTCCGTCAAATATTTTACTTTTCAAAAAGGTTCCGTCACCAAAAAAGTTTGAGAACCACTGGTCTAGGTGGAAGCGTATGATAATTTTAATGTCTCTAACAGTAGGGCTCTAAAACAATATGTGGCCGGTTTTACGAAATATTGGAAAGTATAAGCAACAAAGCCCATTGAATTCATATAAGTCAGCGTTAAATTTAAAATTTAAACTAAAAAATTCCAATGATAAAAAAAATACCTAAATTTTTGAAGGGGATTTTAAGAAACCTTAAAAAATTACACCCTCTAGAGACTTAACGTTTCGAAGAGTTGACATATAAACTTCTTACTCTTATGGTTTTAATTAACATCAGCCATTAGAAGAAGAGTCTCCTTGATTAAACTCCAATATATCCTTAAAATTGATAATAATTAAAATCTCTGATAGAATAAAGATGAGACATATTATCAAAGAAACACAATCGTCTCGTAATAAGGAGCAACATCTCATACTGACTAGTGTACGCCGCGCATCAACATTGCTGATTTTAGGGTAGGTGTAAGTATTGAACAGATAAGAAATATCGCAGGTTAGACTAGACACCTTCTAAAACATTTTTTTAATTTTGTAATAAAACTATAAAAGAACGCAATGACACATTTGCTAACACTATTATTGATTTTGAAGTTAAATCAGTTATTTGATCTATCCTTAAATTGTGATCATACAATAATTTTATTATTACTATTCACTTTTTAGCTAGTAAGTAGTTATAAAATTAGCTATAAATGTAAATATTCGTTTATTTAATTAAGTTTATAATGTGGTTACATATTTAGTTCCCAGATATAAGGTAATCGTAACTCGCATTTCAACGGAATGATATAGAAGGGTTGGTATACGATTAGGAGCAGTAAATATGTCTCATTTATTTTATTCTAGAAAAAATACGTGCTGATGAGGATGTTTCAAGGAAACTAAAATGTAATAACTATATCTACGGACAAGCTCGGAAAATTATAAATAACCTTCCTTAAGGTAAGTCGATTAATTTTATCAATGAATATATGTGTAAGCCGTTGTATGCCTATAATAAACAACGTATTATGCCACATCTAGTACCAAATACTTTGATATCCAACTTAACATTAACTAGGTTTTGAAATTTATTGAAAATTATTACATCTAATTTAGTGAATTTTTTTTTAATGAAATTAACATGTCTCGGCATCAGGGGCCATTGACACAGGTACAATTATATTATATTACAAGAGGTTTTACAAAATATATACACTACCTATAGACAAAAGAAAAAAACCTAATTCACAAAACTATAGGGTACAGGAAAATAACTTATACTAATTTAAATTTGATTAAATAAATTAACATCTTTTAAAAAATTAAACAGTTTTCCAAATTCACTAGGATATCTAAGGATACTAATGCTATCACTCAAACCATTCTTAGCCCGTTGAGATTTAAAGTAAATGCAATCTTCCTCTAATAAATGATTGACGGTTAAAGTCCTGTTACAGTACAAAGAGGTGGGCTTCGGTAGACAGTAAATGTTTATGAGTCAATCTCGTGTGTCCAATTCTCAGTGAAATTTTATATAACTAATGATTCAAAATTTTTTGGGTTCAGTTGCAATTAAATAGGTTGAATTATTTCAGCTTTTTTAATATATGTAAATAATATATGTCTTATTCACCTCAGCACAATATTTGTAGTTACATCTCCTGTTATCTCTGGCAATACCATTTCTTACTATGCTCTTTATATTGTTGTGTTGGTAAGTTAACTAGCCTCATATGGCTCTAAAACTGAGCTTTAATGTCATTAATCCAAGTAATATTTAATAATAACGCACTGCTTGTAGCGATTAATGAATGTTATTATAAATTAAAGAAACACGATTACAGATTGTAGTGATTATAATATCTCTCTGTTAGATGTAATAATAAAATTATTCAACTCTGTTCACTGAAAGTACCAGATAATATACTCACAATTCCTTTGTTTTTCATTTCGGTATTCTATATTTGTTGTCACATTGTAGATGAACTTTTCCATACAAAATTATATCTAACTATAAATAATTTGAAAGTTTAAAAAGTTTTTTATAATTTTTTTTTGTAGCATTTTTAGATTGATTTTATCTAGTTACCTATGGTAATGAAGAGTTGTTTTCTGTATACATTTTAAAAGCGGTGCCAAATACCTGGTTTATACACTGGCCATTTTGCGATAAAAAAACTGATATTTTAGCAAAATCGATAGTTTATTTAATGTCTACCACTACTTACCTCTCGTACAGATAGTGTATAAAAGTGCTTTTAAAAAAGAAAGTGAATTTTCTCTCACATTTTGTGAGTGAAAAGTGTTGGTGTTCAAAGGCGATAGAAAAAGTAACGTAGGTACAGTTGATTTGTTCAAATATTTGATAATTATATAGATCTTGGTACTGAATTAATAGTAATATCTTTTTATTTTACAAAACTTTCCGACAAATTAACAACTGAAGGTACCTACTCTAATTTTTCAAAAAGAACCTGCCATCTTTTTAAAAAAATAGACAAACCAATTTACATAAAATGACACTATCATAGCAAGTGTGGATATATTTCTGTTTTCAATCTCTACTCACTTTTGCATTAGTATCGGTTTTGCCTGATTTACCAACATTCTTAGTTTTACCAGCAATTGCTTTCTCATTACCAATATCTTTATCCTCCAGTATCTCTGCTGACTAGTTTTTCAAAAAATTACAAATATTAAAAAAAAATGAATATTTTCAGCAATGTTTCTAAATGGGCGCAATATATTTTTGGAGTACGATTTGACATCTAACACAGTTTTATACATATTTATAGCTTACAAAATATAGTTCGATATTAAGCTTACATTAAGTAACGTCGGTGGTGAATATGAAATTATATTTTATGTTTTAGTAGTTCATTATAGAATTAATATAAAATAAAAGTCAACAGTTAGAATTAAATAACATATAATCAGAAATAATATTACTCCTCCCAATGTCAACAAAGGCCTGTACGGAGAGGGTGTCCATAGGTTCTTTCGTTCGTCCCACTGGTGTAGGAATGAACTACATCAAACCTTTCGTTTGGCCCGGTGTAAAATCCACTATACCTTCATGTCGGCGATGTGGTATCTACTGGTGGATATTTTCTTCACCAGCTATTTAGCAGGAGTGAATTACACTTGATATGTGTATATAAAATGAGGAGGGAAGTAAACTAGGTAAATAAGGTAGTGTAATTGACACTGGTGCACACTGCACCAACAGCGAACGAAACAACCTAATGTGTGAGACTTGTTTAGTTCAGTGGTCTCCAAACTTTTTAGCATCAGGGCTACACTGACTCCTCTACTAAGTCCCAAGGATCAAGACCACGAAAATGTCAATTTAGCTTGGTTCAGTAGAGCATGTGTTGTCGGAATTTACAAAAAAAAATGATATTTTAAAAAAGGTCAACGACGATAAACTCTTAGACTAATCCATTCATTCCTTAATTAAGCCCTTATTTATTGCAAGGCTTTAGAATGTGTTTTAAAAAAGTAGACAGAGCTAGCTGTCACATTGTCTGCTGCATAGAACGAGCGAAATTGCTGCTAATTTGAGTGGAGATGGTTTATGCGAGCTTGTTTATCTGAGGTGCAAGCACGCGTTTTATGAATGAATCAGTACGTTACGGCTGTCACACTTCAAAATTAATTGATTACTTTTCTGGAAATAAACTTCAACTATGACAGTTACAACGAGAAAAATACATTAAACTGATAATCACTGGCATTAAGAATATAAATATATTTCCTTAATGTACTAGTAATTTTGATAACCTTTTGTGCGTTTTAGGCCTTATGTCAATTAAGAATTATAACCATAAATAATCCTTGTAGTTGTAGGTCATTGATGAAAGACCAGATAACTCCTGGGCTAAAAAATGTCCAGGGCACACTTTGTGTGACAGTGGGTCAGCCTGAAAATAATATACATATATTTTTGGCTTCCGCACGCTCTTAAACTGCAGGGCGCCCTACGTTTTTGAATGTCAGAAAGCTAAGAAAAATAGAAATAGCGTTAGCGAGAGAAGTTGTCACATATAAACAAAAGGTAAATATTTATATTAGGTCTAACAATCGAAAACTGTGTTGCCAAAATTAGGCTCGCAAACTGTTGGTCTCGCTTGCGTGCATGTGTTTCATATGCAGATGCAGAAAAAAAAAATGGATGTGATATCGGCGTTTCCAGTTACCTGTAGCGCGCTAATACCGGCCTGTACCAAATAAAACAACAATGAACTGATAAAACATAAAATACGTTAAATTCGGTAGATATTTTTGAGTCAGTAATCAGATTTAACATGTTTCTTATGTTTTTCTTTTTTTTTTTAAATTACCTTTACATCTCCCCCTCCTGGTACATGTTTGATGTTGTCTTTCGATCCCACTTTTGGCTTGGCCTTATCCTTGAAGTCCAATTTGATCGTTTCGATTTTTTTGTCTCCACCTTTAGGCTTATGCGTGGTGTTTTCGAACGAACCTATTTTTGATTTTGCGTTCCATTGCAATTTTTGGTGAACTATCTAAGTGTGGATATAGAAACGGCTGTCAATTTACTGTGCTCACTAAACTACATAAAAATAATAGTACGGACATTTCATAATACATTTAATAATATATTTTTATATTTTGTCAAAGCTTAAGGTAAACCGTATAAGACAAAGAAGAATTATTTTTCATCACGGAGGAAACATTCTCAGTCTATTTGGGTTGGTCTGACTAGTAGCGAAATATTGAACGAAAATTCAGATCCCTACAACGCATACGCATACGCTAGTATCTAACTGTCGAAATAAATATATCAAAAACGAAGGTGTCTCTCTATTTGTGTGGAAAATAAGCACACCTTCCATGTTTTAAGTTCCACGTTTTAAGTATTAAGTGGGATTGGGGGGGGGGGGGGGGGGGGGTTAATACAGGAATCTACCCCAAAGTTGTTCCTGTTGCTTTGGTTGGCAGTATTATATCTAGAGCAGTATGTCTCTACTGACCCACTATTTTTAAGTTTGTCAGCTTTTCATAGCCTTCAATCCCTAAATGATCGGCCATGGATATTAGATTAGATTAGATTTGAAAGAAGTTGGACATTACTTGTTTTTGTCCACCACGAACTTTTCAGATCTATTGTGGTACTCCGTCTGGCTTGGTCTTTTTTATAAGACTTCGTAGCTTTGGCAGTGGCTCCTGTATGTAGTTCCATGCGTTTGGCTTTTCTTCGCCTAATGTTAGAAACCCCAATCTAGCCAGGCCTTCACACTGGCACAAAACCTGCACAATGTTGCATCTTCTGCTGGATTGAAGACACTTATGTGTCGCCTTAGGCGACAGTGTCCGGTAAGAAGACCTACTGTTAGCCTATCGATTTGACGATTTTGATCCAGTATGTCTTTCGTGAACTCTTTTTGCATTCTCTGTTTGATGGATGCCTTGAACAATACCTTAGCAACTCTACAGGAGAGTTCGGGACCTGTCATGGCCTTATCTGAGCTTTCTCAGGCTAATTCGTCGGCCTTTTCGTTGCCATTATATCCCTCGTGGCCTGGCACCCAGGCTAGGGTCACCTTGTTTTGTATCCTTAGCTCTGCAGTCTTTCATAAGTCGTGATTTGATTTCTTGTGAGAGAATTGCCTTTACAATATTTTTGCCTGATACTTACTGATTGATTATTTCTTTTACTCAGTGTTGTATAGCTATTAGTTCAGCCTGGAACACTGTTGTATATTCAAGATTTAGAAAAATCGTTGCTTTTTGACTTGGGTCCATATATTCCAGAACCGGCTCTTTCCTTGTTTTTTCAACCGTCTGTACACCAGACGAGTTGAGCCTGGGGCATACAGATTAGTTTTGACCTATTTCGGTCAGCCCATATTATCTTCATTTTTTCAAAGCCTCGATCTCACTATTTGACTCAATAGGGCCTTAAGGACCATGATTTGCAATTACTGACAGAAAGACTGTTTGTTTATTGGATAACTAAGGCCGATATCAGTGTTTTGTAGTATAATCCTACACGATATATTATTTACTGGCCAGAAGTAGAAAAGAACTAGACAAAATAATAAGAAATCTGATAAATGTAGCAAATAAACTAGGACTACAAATTAATGATTAAAAAAGTAAATATATGGAAGCCAAGAATAAATAGGGAACAAAAAGAATAGCATTGAAATAACTTGAGTTCTCCTGTATCGTACAATGAAGTACTGCCAAGTCTATTATTATGATAAGTAAGCAGTACACTGCGGGGTATAAATAATGAATTTTGGATTTTGTTTAACAGAATTGCATGTCAGACCTGGTCGAAAGCTTTGTTAAGGTCAAGGGCTATAAATTTTATACTAAGAAATATAAATAAAATTATTTTTGGAATAAGCATGCTTCAGATATAATTTGATACCAAATATAATAACAAAAGTCATGTGTAATTTTGTGTCACTCATTTGTTACGTATCATGTGTTTAATTGGTATAGATAGTAACCAGCAGTATATCTATTGAAGATTTAGAATTTAGGTATCGGACTTTTTTTAACTAAAAACTACAGTCTAAACTACATTTCTAAGCCAATTTTATTTTTTTTACCACGAAGTAGCCAATTGCATCTATTTTCAAATAAATACTGCAAATGTACGTGAATTTTGTGATGTTTTGGGTATTATTTTTAAATAATGATAATAATAAATAACTATTGCAAACTTAAACAAATATTAATTATGTGAACTATCATACTTACATATGACAGATGACAAATGATGTACGACATATGATGCGTGTCACATGACATATGTCAAGCACTTTGAATTTGGATAATTTAGTTAAATGTCATGTTTTAAAAATAATACCGCAAAACACTTATAGCCAATTCCAATTATCACACAGTTGCGTTAAATAGTAGAAACAATATGCGATTTTTTTAAACTCACCTTCTTTTCGCCACCTTTAGGCACATATTTATCATTTTTGGCTTCTATCCTAGGCGTAGCCTTAATCTCTATCTTTTTATTTTCTATTTTTACGTGTCCACCACCGGGCTTATAACTTGCGTTGTCCAAGGAACCGATTTTCGATTTAACTACTTTCAAATTTGGCGATGGGGCATGTCCCACTTGTACTTTATTCATTGGAATTTCTAAAAATAATATTTTTTGAAGATATCTGTACTGCAATCCAATGCAACAAGTCTACATTCTTTTATTATATACTGAATATTATTTTCTAGTGATACAAAAGGGTCTACAATCCAATGATAACCGGTACTCACTTTTCTTTTCTGTAATTGAACCTGGAGTGGTTGCATTTGAATCTGGACTTTTTAGACTAGGAGATTTGGATCCTCTGGATAAAGACCTAGTTACAGGCGTGGATGATGATGTCCTAGACTTTGAGCTCTTCCTCGGAGATCTGTTGTCACCGTTACTTGACAGTTCCTAAAAGGTATGTGTGTAGAAGGAAAGAACATCTAAAAATTTCTTTTTTATTTTTCAAAAACACTATACTCGAGGGGTAAATCACTCCAGAAATATTGAACCTTTTCACTCGAATTCTCCAAATTCGATAAAAATTCTATTATTATTTCCGTAATCATAATCGAAAATCAGGTCCGAAATGAATTTGCTTCGAAATATAAACGCAGCAGGTGGTGAATCAAACATAAAACTGGCCAAGTGCGAGTCGGACTCGTATATAAAGGGTTTCGCACCAGCGTACATGATTTAATACTATCCAGGTACTTTTTAAATACCTTATTAAAATGGAGCAAAAAGAGCCAAAAAAATACGTTTCTACTAGGGAAGCCCCCTTTAATTTTTAATTTATTTTTATTATTTGTTGTTACAGCGGCAACAGAAATACATAGCAACGGAACCCTATGGTGCGTTTGATTTAATCATCGGAGATCTCCGAGCGCTGCAAACGTGTTTGAATTGGCACTCCGAGAGATCCCTAAAGTGTTTGTTTTGCTTTGGAGCGAGAACATAGAGCAAGCTCGATGTTCTCAGAGCTGAGGGATCGATAAGAGGGAGAAGTTTGTTTTTGTCTCTACCTATCTCTTTTTAATTAACTTACAAACAAATTTGAATCTTAAAATTAAGAACCAGACAAGAAGTCAACAAATTACTTAGCCGCTTTTGTCTTATAGCTAAAATTATTCGTCATAAAAACACAAAATGTGTGTTTGGAAAATACATTTTCTCTCTCCAGATCTAATCACCAGTAATCAGTCATGGAGTATAAAAGCGAAGTGGGCATTTGTGGTATATTCTGCATTTCAGGGCCATTACACCTAATTATTAAAAGTTTTTCCATTTTATTTACTTTTTGCTTACTATTTTGACACAAAAACCAGAAACAAGAATCACAAAAAAGCGAGGTTATGTTTTTTACTCTGTTTTATTTGATTTGATACAATGCTCTATTGTGACATCATCACTTCTCGGTCTCCTCGACGCTCGCTCGATTGAGTTTCAAATCAAACGACCCTCTATTATGGATCATCAGATACAGCCCGCTGAGAGACAGACAGACGAACAGCGGAGGCTTAGTAATAGAGTCTCGTTGGTTACCCTTCGGGTACGGAACCCTAAAAAGCAAGTGAAGAGCCAAAAAATATTCAAGAAGTTTATAAATAATTCATAGAAAATTATGCCGAAACCAGTCATATGAATTTTTGGTGATTTTCGAAATGGGTACGTTTTGAGCTTAGTGGTTACCCCTCGACTAATACCTGTTTAATGGATACATACAATAATTGAATTACTTACATTTCCTTGGGTAGATTCATCAACCCCACTGTCATTGTCTCCTTCTGAAACAAAGGAACAATATTTTAGAACCAAATTTTAACTAATCTCATTCAAATCTTAGGTCTACAATAATAACCTGATTTTTTGGAAGATCTCACTCTTGGCGACTTATCCAAATCTAAGTATTTATCGTTCCTTGTAGGTGCATCTTTAGTACCATTAGCTAGATGACTTCCACTAGGAGGTTTGCGGCTTAAATCTGGAGTTTTCGGTATTGGTGTGCCATCTGACTTACTTACTACATCCAAGCTCCCGTTTGGAGTAAATTCTACACTTTTTTGAGAAACGTCAGTCAGAGAACTAGATCTATCTTCATCTTCTACTATTTTATTCATTCTTGATGTTGATCGAGATTCAGGTCTGGATGGAATGTCTTCTTTTTTGTCCAAGTTCTCTGTAGAGCCTCCAGTAGAATCTTGCCTTGATGATGGCCTAGACGTTGGTCGTCCTTCTCCATAACTATCAACGCTACTGACTGATTTTCTTCTGGCTTCTTCCTTTGAATCAATGGATATATCTGGCGGCGCATTCGAGCTCAAACTATAACTTCTGTTGTTCATAGCAGCTATGGAGGGCGCTTTAATATATTCCTGTGGCATATTCTTGATTTCATCGTTCCTAGAAGGCTCATTCTCTGATGAATCCAGAGTTTGACTTCGGATAATACCTTCCTCGGGTATTTGTGGTCTTACAGCACCAAAAGATGGTACAGATCTTTGTTGAAATATCCCAGGAGGCCTTTGATTCGGAACTCCAGGTCTTGGAAAAGGCGACAGTGGCCTGAAGTTAGCTCTTTGCTGGCTTCCTGGAAACGGTTGACCTGGGGGAATTCCTGATGGGACACCTGGAGGGCCAATTGGACGTTGTCCTGGTGGTGGCACTGGGTTTCTTGAAGGGAACTGTTGTGGACCCGGTGGTCTCGCTTGTTGGGGTCTTGGCTGGATGCCTCCTGGAGGTGGCTGATTGGGAAATGGAGGACGATACGGGAAGTTTGTTCTGCTGTCGGTTCTGCTTAGAGGACGCTGTGCGTTAGGTGGTTGAGGTCCAGGTGAGAACGGTGATTGTGATCCGCTTCCGTTTGTTTGTGCTTTTTGCTATTAAAAATGTAATTAAGTTAACTGAGTGATACAGTTTATACGGCCAAGTTTATATCTTAAAATTGTATAGACGTATTTATTATTTCAAATATGGATTCCTTTTAATTTTATAACATTATACAAGTATGAAATTCAAATGTTTATCAGAATTTGGCCAGACACAAAATTAAAAAAAACATATGAACTTTGCCTTTTTATTATTTTTGCGTATGGTAATAATAATTATTATAATTATACTAACGTGCGTAAAGTACATACTTTGACTCATGTGATTGTCGCAACACAACATTCACATTCGCCAAAAAACAGTAACTTTACACACTTGTTGCATAAATAACTATTTTCTATATAAATTTTTATACTTAAAATGTATTATAATTTGATATTTTTAGATTTATAAAGTTCTGCCACTGAACACTAGTTGTTTAGTTTTTATTTGTCAATTATTTGAACTTTTCGTGTTTATAGTTTAGCATAAAAGTGACTAAACAGTAGTAAAAACGTCAAATAATAATTAGCTAAAGCTAACGAGACAATAACGAACAATGTTTATATTAAAAGTTTATTGTGGATTTTAAGCTTAGTTTGGGTATTTAGAGTATGAATCAATTTCGGAGGAGGGAAGAAGAAAATAAATCATATGCAAACATAGTTAATAGCTTTTTTACAAACCCATTAAAAGTTTTTTTTTGTAGTTTAGTTTGGAAATGTCAATTTATGAAAAGCGCGTTAAAAATGATTCTGTTTTAACCCTAGTGCTTCAACACTTTTGACACTAGATCATTAACACTTTTAACACTAAGGTTAAAAGAAAAACGTCAAACTGTAGATGATAAAAATGTTTTGACTTTATACATTTTGAAAAGGATCTACAGAAAAAAAGTGGATAATACATTGATACAAATGTTAAAAGCTTTTTATTTTGTTCGAATGATTTTTAAACTCGCTCTGATCGTTTCAAAATATTTTCTTGTCATAAAATAAAATTGAACTTTTAACACTTTTATTTGTCAGAAGTGATTCTGCATTCACTCTCACCCTTTCTGGATGGTATGAAAATTGTGTAATTATAAAACCAAAAATTTCGACCCCGAAACTAGTCACTTGTTGTAGGCTCGAAAGTAAAGTCTGTGTAACGAGATGTATGCAGAGGCATTTTTGCTAGAGTTACGTTAAACGAGAATGAAACGAGATGTGTTTTGCTCGAGGTTCAAATGTGGAGTCTTTAACAAAACATGTTAAGGTGATTACAGCACCCCCTTATAATTTTCGGACAAGGATATCTCAAAAAGTAATTTTTTTATATCTTTAAATTTTGGCAAAATAAATTAGGCAATAATATTTAGAATATGCATATTTTTTAAAGTTTTAATTCCATACAGTATCCGAAAAAAAAAATCAAACGGCTTTAAATTTTAAAATATTATGATGAAAATAAATGCATTCCTCAACAGCACTATTCTTAATATAATCCATGAATTTAAGCTCTTAATGTCTTGTTAATGATTTTTTAAAATTCGCCAAAATTAGTGGCTAAAACGCCTCGTCAAGTGCTATCTTGTGGTGTAAACTGGTGTAAATCATTTCAGGAAACGAATGATTACTGAGATTGTACGATACGATAATTACAGTCAGAAGGAAGCACATAATGCAAAATAATTTATTGACCAATATTGGTCTATTATGTGAAATTGACGGCGACTTTATTTTCCAACAGGATGGTGCTTCCTTCACGTCATATACCTACTGAGCTTTCAACTAAGAAATATGGTTTGCGTAACATAGTATGATATTATCTTGGCCGGCAAACAGTCTAGACTTAAATGTAATGGATTTTTTCAATAGAACACCCGATATATTATTGCATTTTCCAGTCTACTCTACTATTTGATTCCAAAATTGTATACCTTAGATATAAAGTGAATCGTTTGGAAGTTGCGTTTTTTGCGCTTTTGTTTACGCCCTTTCTTTCCCTTTTTCCTTTTTTTCCTATACTTTTTGACTTAATTTTGTATTTTTTCAAAAAACCCTCACCTAAAAAATTATTTAAGATAGATAGTTTTCATTAAAATTCCCTTAATATATTTACGAAAACAATATTGATGTGGAATGTACCGAAAATCATTAATGTATCACATTACCCCTACTGGCGCCACCTATAGATACTTTTAGAAATTACTCTGCAATATATACTTGTAACACGTAAAGAGTAATATTGACTTTATATTGGGATGGTACGAACGATCGAATGGTATTGTAATAAATCAAAGTCGGTTTATTTTTACTGAAATTTTTCTGTTTCATGCAAATACCATTTCTCTGATATGAATAAAATTAGGTAAATTTGATTATTTTATTCTTCATCGAAGATGATTAGAATTAGCGATATTCATAATTTTATCATGATAAGAATCTATTTGTGATTGCGATTACAGAGTGAATAGCTGTACATACTTAACGTTTTCAAAATAATTTGTATATTTATTACAATATTTTATCGAGAACCGAATAGAAAGATAAAAAATTCGGCGAAGTTAATACTCCGTTTTTAGCGGCAAAGGAAAGAAAATCCGCCTTCGAAATTTTGCTATACCTAGGAAAATTTGCCGCCGTAGACTATGGCCTGCTAGCCTATTTAGAAATCCGCCACTGATCGAACATAAAATAAAAACAAAGTATTATTAGATGAAGTTGGCGTGTATTAGGTAAATTTCGATAATCAGATAAATAGCGAATGAAAAACGAAGACATTGTATCAGATGGGCATGAAAAGAGTCTAGAAAACGGATCCGACACATTGATTCCATTATGCACAGGATTTGGCCTGCCCTTGAACTTTTTTTAACCTACATATACATATAGATAGATAGATAGATAGATCGAATAATACCAAGGAAAAATGAAGAGTGTTTAAAATAATATAAAATAATACTGCTAATAAATTAAGGTTATATTTTATTTTACAACTGGTACTAAGGTTTCCGAAGGTACTTGATTTTCGCCCGGAAGTGATTTTACTAGACGTCTTTGACAATAAAATTTCTAGTTGCTCAATCCTATTTTATAGCTATATTTCGACATACAGTTTAATAAACTGTAAAGGCATTATTTTCTGTTTAATCGTTATTTAGGGAATGGAACTCAATTAATATCCACAAAAATTGTTTCAAAAGTAGGCAATAGAAAAAAAATTACATATTATTGAGAAAGTTGAAAATGAGTGGGATAATCTCATCGCCTTCCACTGCGACCCAGATGGATTTATTGTGGCCCTTGTCTAACGTATAGTTCACCGTACAAACCATACCTTTTAATCAGGGAAGCCGAGAGCCAGGTCGGGCCCCGAGACAATTTTCCAGGTCGGGCCCCGGGACAATTTTCCAGGTCGGGCCCCGCGACAATTTTGTAAGAACAATAAGCCTTTTCAATATCACATTTCTTAAAAAAAAGTCTTCAAGCAAAAACTTGTGTTCTGGGCCAAACTTAACCCTAGTTGCTTATTATAACCTACAAAGAGACAAAGATAAAGATAGTCTCCATAATAAAGATAAAGACCCTGTCAATGACAACAGGTCCACAGGGTTGCCATTTCTAAACTAACAGTTCCCACTTGTCAGCATTCTCTACTGAATTCTGTAAAAAAACGGTTCAAACAAAAAATTCTAGAATTGAAAAAGGTTCTCCCTCTTGAGCTCTTGTGGCGAACTTCTAAAAACATAGAAAAACGTCCTCACCCAAAGCTGCCGGGTCCCCCTTAAGCCACTGCCGGGCCCCCACTTGAGCTCGGGCCCCGGGAATTAGTCCCGGCCACCCCCCTCTCATCGGCCCTGCTTTTGATGGAGGCCATGGTTGAATTGGGTGAGACTTGAGCTCTAGTTGGGTAAATCCGAAGATTTGGAGACTAGTTCTTTCAAAAGCGGAGCAGGTACATAGAATATGCTCTACGGATTCGTCTTTGATTCCGCAGAATCGTGAATCCGACTCAGATCTGAGTAGAATCGTTCATATAAACGTCTTCGCTTTCGAATGAGTTGGTTCTGGAGTATCCCTCCAGTTTATGATGTGTGTTATGCTTAAAACCAGTGAGACAACAGTTAATTTTGGCGCCTTGCAGAACTGTCTCGGCACGCTGCAGATGAAAATGCTTATCAGAATCGTTAACTTTTTTTAGGGGTCAAAGCTAGTATGACCATTTCGCTTATTGTACAGCATTTTCAATGTCTGTCCAGAATTTGATATTGTAAAGCAAACGTACATCAAAATGCCGTATTTATCCAGCAATACGTGTATTTGTTGTTTTTTTATTGTTATAAAAAGCGTAAATCTAGACGTTCTTATAATAAATTAGCTCCATTAATGTCAGAATTTTCTTCGTCAGTTAGTCAAAGATGGAGATCTTTGCAGCAAGCGTCCAATTCTGATACGTCCATGTTTTTTATTAAAACGATCTGATTATGTGTTCTTCTAAAGCTGGTAAAAGTTATAAAAATGAACTTTTTTCGACTTGATTATGTTGTGCTCCATTTAGTGATTTATATTGAAATTGTCTTTTATTTCGTCGACGTCAAATTGCGTCTTCTCGGTGAAATTTAGCAATTATTTCCAGCTCGTCTGCGAATTTCTTAGCAGAAACCTGCATTTGTTGAAATCTTTCTGCTCTATTGGACTGCATAGATGTCTTGTATTTTTCTAAAAAAATCCTGTAATTTGGCCTGAGCAGGAAACCTCATCGTTTACCACCAATTTTTTTTTGGAAAATTCTACTCTGATTTCTTTTTTCTACTCCCTTCATGTTAGCTCCATTGTAATATACCTGTCCTTAATACCAAGGTCTAGTTTCTGAAGCAGATGAATTATTATATATATACTTTGGCGAAATGCCGTCTTTATATTGTTGCCGCCCTAGGCGGTCGCCTCACTGCCTCACTACCTGCCTGGCTACCCAAAAATATCTTTATAGTCTTGTTAATGGGGAGAAAATTGATCAACTCTATCGCTCCCAAGTCTCCTTGGAAAATCATGGTCAGAGTTCCCAGGTTTATTAATATGTCAACTATTGGTTTCTAAAGACACAGCAAAGGAAGGCAATAACGAGGCTAAGCAAGGTACAAAGACTTGCCTGCCTCGGAATAACGGGGGCAATGAAAACAACCCCCACTGCTGCAATGGAAGCACTAATAGGACTCCCACCTCTTCACTATGTGATACAAGGGGAGGCAAGATTAGCTGCTTACAGACTAGGGAATATACTGGGAA